TATGAATGAAGAAGGACTTACGTTTGATTCAAAGAAAAATCTTTATCTGTCCTAAAATTGAAGACTGCAATGGTGTTAAATATAGAAGGGGCAGGAAGCAGAGGGCAGGAAGGACCAGTTCTTACTGCCCTTGCTACATTTCTGGAGTGTTCAAAGGCACCGAAATCAGCCCTGAGATTATCACAGTCTTTATGAATGAATGCGATTGATGGTTTATGAGTTCGTGGTATTGTTACATCACTTTTCTTTCTCTCTCTCTCTCTTCCATGGTGACTGTCTTGCTTTGAGACTGTTTTCTTTCTTTCTTTTTTTTTTTTTTAAGAAAGATTTCATTCAATATGCAGTTGCTAAAGGCCAGACCACAGTACTTGCCCCTGGGCGCACTCGGGATAAACAACTTGCTATGCAGTTCACCCTGGTGTGCTATTGAATCCGAAAGTCAGCACTATGCGAAAAAAGAAAGCCCTAAATAAGGCTGCTTGGCCATGGGTGGCCTCCTCCCTCCACCTCCACCCCTTGCTTGACTCCGGCCAAAAACGTCCATTATACCCTTAGCCACACTGCAGATCCCTTGGATCAAACAAGGCGTCTCACAGGAGCTCAGACGGAGGGAGTGGTAACTGCCCTTGTCACTGATCCCCAAGCTGAGTCTTTCCCTTCCAGTTGCCCCCAGATTGAGGGGCACATTTTCATCTTGCAATTCAAAGGCAGCTTATATACAATGAGCACACAAGTCACAGGAGTGCAGACCGAGACATTCTTAGATAGCTAGACATGCATGTGACCTTTTCCCAGACAGACATGACGTCCCTATCCCAGAAAGGGCTGAGTGTCAACGGCATGAGTCTGGGAAGTGTAGCTGGGAGATCCTTCCCAGTTTGTGCCTTCACCCTTACCCTTCTCAGGTATAATGGAAAGGGGATAAGACCCGCCCCATCAACACAAGACGGCAGAGATAATGCGCCACATCACAAGTCCATTTCCCTGTGTCTTACATGTTTGAGACTGTGTGGACTTGGCCAGGTTCTTTCTGTCATGGCCTTCGTGAGTCTAAGAGAACAAATGAGGCGAGACTTCTGACCAAAGGTTTTTTGCTGTCTGAACTGGAATCACAGTTTTCATCCTCCACCGGTGCTTTGAGCCTCCCAGGCCTGGCTATTATGGGCAGAAGATTTTTGTGAATATTAATGAGTCTACCATCTATTTTAGGTATTGGTACAAACTGTCCTGATCCTCTGCAGCCGCTGATGGATCATAGTCTTCAGGATCACCAACCTGGCCTACTGTGCCTAGACCTCCAGTCCCTTGTTAAAGGATCACACTTCCTTGGTGTACACTTTGGAAAGCTGGTGCCTACTGCCTTCCTGGACATTTTCATTTCTCTCTACCTATGTTATTTAGAATTAAATTGGAAGTGCTGCAGATGTAGCTCGGTGGCTTAGCTCATGCGAGGTCCTTGGGTCTAGTCTCAGCACAGCAGAAGAAACAACAAAACATGGAAAATGTGCAGCTTCTCTTTGGGTGGGTTCAGAGTCAAACCGTTGGTTTTCCTTCTGGGATATTAACTTCTAGTTGACTCTTCAGATCTGGCCACTGTTGGTCTCCCACATACATGCCCAAGTTCATCTCTTAGCTGCCTCTTATGGGTTGGTCACCCAGAGACCTGTCAAAATTCCTCATCATGATTTTATAAATAATTGGATTTCATACATGGACAGTTAAGGAGATGTGTGTTGAAGACTTTTGTTCATATTTGCTGTTATTTATTTTGTAAATTAAAAATGGAAATGTATTTTAAAGTTTACTATATGGTTAGCTTGTTCTTGGTTTTAGGTGATTACAATAAGATCAGGGACTTAATGGTTCTTCCCTGTTGACAGCTTCTTCGAGACACTTCACCCTCTGGCTTATCTCATGACAGAGCCTGTTGGAATGCATACTGTGGGATCCCGGTGTCTGTCTTTCACAGAACTAATAAAATCTGCAATCTTTTCATTTCTTTTTGCCCCGCCCACCCGTGCCTTTGTTGTCTGAGCTGAGTTTTCTGAAAGAATTTCTTTCATGTGGACAGGTTTTGTGTGATCTTCATGGATAAACAGGCACAGGGAGATGGGGAAATAAAGTAAGAGTAGCTAAGCTGGCCCAATTGATCTTACTTTTAACAACTAATAATGCCCTATTATCTGAGAGTCAAAGGATTACCATATGTGCTTATTAAAAGTATAAGTGGCTTTCATCCCGAGGCATGAGTGAATGTTAGGCTTGGTGCATTCCTATTAAATTCTACTTTTGTTTGCTGTCAGAATCTTTTGAGTGTTATTACACTTGTATAATTTATATATATGTATATATATAATTTATTTATATATTTATACAAATATATATTTATATTATATATATCAATATACACACACACACATATATACATATATATTAAGGTACACTGAGGTGTAAAGTCCTCAGAGGGAACAATTTTATATTTAGCAAGGGTAATGTTTTTTCTCTTCTCTAATCCACTTGATCTTGTGGGCCATCTGTGGATTAAGTGGACCCAGTAGACTTGCAAACTGCCAAGCGTCATCCCAAGTCTCTACCAGCAACAGCAGCTGAGTGAACACATTTTTATCCCATGCCGAGAATTCATTGCTGGCTCCAAAAAAAAAGTTCCCTAGAGATGGTGGTTGACGGCAGAAACTCAATGCTCCAAATACATGTATAAATTAAGAAAGTCTTGCTTTTTAAAAAAAAATGTTTGTTAATAGCAAGTTTGAGGCCAGTTTGAGCAACATGAGACTGTCTCAAACAAACTGAAACATTCATGAAGGATGGTAGACTTTCACTTGCCAATCACAGTATTTTAAAAAAAAAAATAATCGACTTCACAATATTCCATGGGCATTTGCTGAAATTTGAGTTTTTCCATTGTTGCCATAGCTACCTGGAAGTTTGTGAGACTCGTGTTCACATCCAGGACCTCATGAAGTTGCCACAGTGGAACCAGGTTGATGATGAGTCTCAATTTTCTGTTTCTGTTCCGACAGCCAAACTCTCCCATAGCTCAGCTTCATTGGATGTTCTTTGCTCTGCAGCTTAGGGAGTGGTGAGCACAGATCCAGCAGAACTGAGTGGGTCTTCTAAACCCTGAGCCTCGGCTTCATCACCTTAAATTGAGGACAGTCATGGTTTCCCAGCTTGCCTGAAGATACTCATGCATGTACATCTAGCACGAAGCCTGACTTTGTCCCTGTGGAGGACGAAAGGTGGTCCAAGAAACAAGGGGACACCAGATTCAGTCTCCAACGGACTATGTACACTTCTGTTTCTTAAGTTAAATACAAAAGTTCTCAGGAAGGAAAGTTGTGTTGGCCCTGGTCCCTGCTACGGTTTGCATGTGGCGTGTCCTAAAGAGTCACATTCTGGAAGCCTGTTCCCAAAGCGGTCACACCTTTAGGAAGAGGTGGGTATTGGGGTCATGGTGAGAGTACCCTCAAAATGGACTAAAGGCTGTCTCATGAAAGTGGGTGAGGTCCTGGGAGATTAAATCAATTATCGTGAGAAGAGGCAGTTATAAAGTGAGACCACTCAGTGTTTGGCATTCTCTATGAAAATCCCATTCCACTGTGGTGTGTGGTTCCATGGCATGAAACTGTCCGCCAGGTTATGATACAACGTAACGGACATGGCCTCCCAAGTCTGGACAACTTAGCCTCCAAAACTGTCAGCCAAAAGAAACTACCTTTCCTTATTAAGAACCTAGCCTCGGGATTTTGTTATAACAATAGAAAACTGGAATAGTTCTGAACCCCATACCACCTGGCATGACAATATGGAGCCAGGAGCACTGGACCAGGAGCCCAAAAGGTTCTCCTGATTTAATGGGGTTCTACCTGACTTCAAAGGTAAAGGGAGACAGTTCTTCCCAGCAGCAGGAATCCATGACCGTATAGAAACCATGTGAACTAGCTAACCTCAACCATATATGACCACTCTCTTCCCTTTGTGAATGCAGGGTGGATGGGAGCCATGGATTATGTCTTTGGTCAATCAACAAGACTCTTTACGGCATTGTGGTTTCTCTCCCATCTACCACATGTCCTCATCTAAAGACCTTTACCCACCCCATCATTGCCCCTGCCACCTGTGGTGGGCCGGGGAACTGGTAAGGATGCCCCCTTACCAGCTGCAGCACTCAGGCAAGTGGGCCCTGTATCTCTCCTGGGCGGCACTGTAGGCAGGAGCAGGTGAGCTGCCCCTGAGAACATGAGCATGGGAGAGCTGGCCCTGAGGTCATCAGAGCTGGAGAGTTGTCCCTAACCCAACCTTCCGCCAGCTGCACAACTCGGGACAGCGGCCACTGCACCTCGCCTGGGTAGCACAGTAGAGCTGGCTTTGATGGTGCGGCTGTGGGAACACTGACTGAGTGTGAAAGCAGAACTGGTCCTGTGCCTTGCTCATCTTGCAAGGGATGAACTAGACAGGGCAGTGCTGGAGAGTGCACTCTGGTGGTGCTCGGAGTCGGCCAGGGGGCCAACCCTATAACTACCCAGACCCAGAACCAGGGTTATGAGTTGGCCCGCTCCAACATCCATCCCATCTATGATTTGCAGGAGTACGTAAAGCTGCTGGACCCAGGGCAACAACAGGATATCCAAGAAGACTCCCAGTGAGGGCCCAGCATCAATAGGGCAACAGAAACCAGAGGCCTCGAACCAGACAATGACTCTTTGCAATGAATAATTTGTAAATAAAGATGTATGGACAAAGGGGTGTACTGTGTGACTCACTGTCACACTGCAGCTTCCATGATGAGATTTTTTTCCTTTTTTCTCTTTTTTTTCCCTTAAATTTTATTTTATTGGGGGGAAGGGTAGAGGGCAGATGTGGAAGGAACAGGAAATGAATGGGATCGAGATGAATGATGTGAAAGACACAAAAGGATAAAAAAATTTTTAAAGCTGCATTCTGAGTTTGGAGTAAAAGGCAGGTCACATTTACAGTACTTGATCCACAACACATTGCTTTATTATGAAATCCATGCTGCTAGGCATAAAAATGCTGAAACCCACACAGGTACAGATCTATAACAGGTCACGTTTTTAAATGTCCACGTTATACTTGGGTGCTGTGGATCCTTCGGGGTCGGTGCACTTACATCTTCTTCTGCCTGGTTTCCTCTTCAATCAGACTTTCCTGGAAAATACATAACCTACGCTTCAACATTGGATTGACTAGCTAGCTGAATGTCGATGTTTTCCAACATTTATACATAACATGGCCACCAATGTTGGATTGGCTAGATGAATTTCATTGTTTCCGACATGTGTTTTCTAAAACTCAGATCTAAGAACAGATGCATTTGTTATCCACTCAAAAGAACTAGAAACATGGCAGAGTCTTGTAGAGCTGTTGCCACCCCAAAATCTGCATTAACCGCTAAAAGGCTGGCACGGTGAGACATTCTAAAATCAGCATTAACCACTAAAGGATGATACTGTGAGGAAGGATTTGGATCAGATCGGCCTTTCCTTGGAGTCCTTCATGATGTCACGCCAGGGAATCTCAACTTGTTGTTTTGATTGGGCTACAGGCAAGCTTAGAACAAGAAAGGAAATAGAGATGCCTGCCCACCTTCATCTTTGCCCACTGGGTGTGGAATTTGAAGCCAATGTTGGATTGGCTAGATGAATTTCATTGTTTAAACTCAACCTTCTCTTCAAGTGTGATTCACTGAGGCTCTCCGTGCTCCTCTGAGGAACTGGCAGTTGGCCACATGCTTTCCGAGGATCACTAATGAGCAGGAAAGCAGCTCAGAGAACAATGACGCTCACTTCCAGGTTACTTTCCCATTCAGTTTGCTCCATAGTTCTATTCTCACGATCAAGCAATCATACAGCCTGAGTGGTTCTACATCCCTGTAATTGTACCTTCTCTGGAGGCTGAAAAGAACCTCAAATTCAAGTCCACCTTTAAGTTTGAAGTCAGCCTGAGAAAGTTAGTGAGAGCCTGTCTCGCACAAAAAGATGTGTTTTTAAGTAGGAGGCAGGGCTAAGGATAAAACCCAGTGGTGCAGTGCTTGCCAGCATATGATCTTACCTGGGATAGATACCCAGAACCGAGAGAGGAGAGAGGGGAGAGAATGAGAATGGTGGGCGTTTAGGCCTAACGAAACTCCAAGTCAAATCTGTGGCTCTAAGTGACAAATTTTGTAAGTTTTGAATATTGTAATCCCAAGTGACGGAGTGACCGGGAACCTTGTTCTTGGTTTCTACAGTTCCCGGGGTCCTGGAAGCAATGGCTGCATCAAGTGGAGGGTAGGAGTCAGCTCCGGCATGAGGAGCTGGGGGGTGGAATAGTCTTTGAAAACTGGAGGCTTACAGTGGGAAGAAACTTGCTGGCCATTCCAAAGGCTGGATCTGGGATTATTACATAAAGGGTATATAGACACATTAAAATCAATTAAGAAAAAAGCAGTTTGCAAACATGAGTGCTATCTGCACAGAGGGGCCACGCTGTAAGATATGGAAGGCCATGCCGCAGGAGTGACTCGGGTGGCTCTGAGGTGGTGGCCTTCCTGACTCTAGCTCTGCGCGGTGACCACGGTGACTTACCAGAGCTCCTCGCAGGTCCCTGAGGGGCGAGCGGGGCCAGTGGACAGCGCATTCGAAGTGCTGGGGTTCTGCCGGTTGATCCACCTCTTTGCCCATCTGGAGACAAAGAATGTGATTCGCAAAGATGAAGATACAGAAACAAAGCAGAGTTTTTCATTTCCACCAAGAGTGAGGACTGGGGGTTGTGAGGCTGAGTGGGAGGCCTGGGGAATTGTGGGTCTGGGGAGTTTAAGGATGTACTTTTAAAGAATGAGCTAGAGTTCAGGAGGTGATGGGACAGTAAGAAAAGATTGTGCTCCCTCAGACAAGAATGGAGTGCTCTGAGCCTCACAAAAAGACAGGACATAAAAACTGCACAAGTTTTGTAGTCCTAATTGGGCTGGGTTTCTGTTGTTTTTGTTGCTGCTCTCATTTTATTTCAAACAGGGTTTCACTCTGTATCCCAGACTGCACTGAGACTCAGCGTCTCCTGGTCTAGCCTTGAACCAGCTTAAAGTGGTGTGTTTGTGTATCAAATGCCAAGAAGTGGGAAGATGAAGCCCACTGTGGGCAGCACCATCCCCTGGGTTTGGGGCCTGGGACGGAAGCCGAGTACTAGGCATGCACAGATTTACTCTGTCTCTGTTCTTGACTACCGGCATAAGTAGCTGTTTGGAGTTCCTGTCCTCACCTCCCCACAGTGATGGACTCTCTGGAACTGTAAGCCACATAAACCATTTCCCCCTAAATGACGTTTGGTCAGCGTGTTTTTATCACAACAAAAATAAAACTGGGACAGAACTCTCCCTTTTTAGCCTCCAAAGGATGGTGACTTCGGTGTGAGCCCCACACCCTGGGAAGATAGTGACTATGGTGTGAGTCCCACACCAGGGAGCACAGTAACTATGGTATGAGCATCACACCCAGGGAGGACGGTGACTATGGTATGAGCACCACACCCAGGGAGGATGGTGAACACCCAGGGAGGATGGCCACTACAGTGTGAGCACCACACTCAGGGAAGATGGTGACTATGGTGTGAGCCCCACACCCAGCAAGGCTGATTTTCAGTTTGCACCACATCCTAGTTCTGTGACATCTGTTTCACAAATAACCCAGAGAGTGGAGGCTTCAGATTCTGGGGCTTTGTTTTATCTTCAAAACTTGGTTTTAAGTTTCTCAGCTATGTTTCTTCTTTGGATAATCAGCAAATGAAATGGCTTCTCTCATGTAATTCCCCAATCCTTAAGTGAAGTTTTAAGATAAATGAAACGTCCTACATTAATGCTGGTGCTAGCGCTGCAACCTAACTTAGAGGAAATTAAATCTAGTACATTTTTCACTTCACAACCTTAAATTTGATAATTCATGGAGTTAAACATTCTCCAGGTTCTTTACTTAAGTGTCTCCATCGGTGGCAAGAAATAATAGCACGTATGCCCTTGATACAGGTACTGATACAAGAGAATTGATTTAATATCATAGGCATTTGAGAGCATGGTGCCTTGTCATGAACTTGGTGTTCCACTGTCTTCACATCTGTCCTGCTGTTTGTTTCTTTAGTCTCTATCAAAAGTGCAAGGAAGCATCTGGCTTCCACTCCATGAAGTCTTTATCTCATTGGCGTCAGTATCCAGTGTAAGCTCAAAGTAGAGCCACCGGGGCTGGCACGGCACAGCTCACACAGTTAGAAGTGGGTCAGTGGGGACCAACTTACCTCTTGGAAAGAATCGACCAAGTGTTCCGCACTTCTCTTTCCTCCAGGGCGCAACCCATAGGACCAGTGCTGGCTGGAACAGCCTTCCAAACACAGACTCAGCAGAAGAACAGCAGCTATGAGTTTGGGGATCATCTCCACTCTAAGGCACATCAAGACACACAATCACGACACACCTAGACTGAAGTGAGTGAAAACAGAATGCTTAGCAGAGGGACCAGCATCTGGCCCGCTGACCCTACAGAAGCTGCAGAGGGAGTCGTGTGGCTGGTATGTATTCCATGCAGACAGTGAAACACCTCTCTTGGGCTTCTTAGACATTGGGGACAAACACCTGTAGTTCATTCTGGCATCTTCCACTCTTTTCTTGTGGCAATGTAGCCCATTTTGATTTTTGTTTGGTTACCTGAAACCCATAATTCATCCCTTACTAAATTCACTTTGCCTGTACCCTCCTCATTACAAAGCAGTTCTCGACTTTGTCATCCACGAGGTTAGAACTGGGCCAGCTGTTCTGAAAAAGGAGTTCCTCCTAGATGTCTCTGGGTAGTAAAAGGTTGCTTGACTTTAAGTGGCTGCCCAGTGGCACTGCTGACATGTTTCTGACTGTCATCTAATCTTTAAGGCATTACAGCTGGCTGGACCAACTTCAAGACCAAGATAGAACTCGAAACTGATCTAGATGGAGACACCTAGCTCAGATGCCCCTCTTGCCAGTAAGCCTAGGTTTGGTTGATAAAAATGTGTCTTCAAATTAAATTCATCTGATGGGGATAAAGCTAAAACCAATGTCCAACACTGGGCCACAAGCTGCTGGGCTCCTCCAAGGTTGGATCTCCCCCAAGGCTGGTGGTTAATAAGGTCAGTCAGTGAAGGGCAAGGCTTCCTTGGATACTAGCACATCTAGACTTGATCGTCGAGTGCAAAATACCCTTTAGACATAAATAACAACCAACATTAAAAATAATACTAGGAATACAAAGAATTTTACCTGTTGGGAAGTAAAAGCCAAAGGGATGCCAAGCTTCCTTTGTTTGGGTTGAACGCTGTGATGTTCCTGTTCTCCTGGCTTCCTTTTTATATGAACTCTTTTTCTGGGACACTGAAATCCTCCCCCGCTGGTGAATGACAAGATGGAGTGCCGCACAGACGATGGCTTTAATAATAACGTTTAAAAATCCTCACAAAAAGCCTTTTAATGGCAAATGTAATTGGGACACCCGCTGGTCTATCTGTTACATTTACTTAAACCTGGTCATTAAAATCTTAGCTAAGACTTTCACAGCTGCAGCCCCCATTCTAAGGGATTAGAATCCAGCTACCTTGTGCTCCCCTGAGGAAGCTAGCAGCCCTATGGAGAGTTCAAGGAAAATCAGTGTCTTGGGTAAGGTGAAGTTAAACACGCACACACGCAAAAGGAAGTTAAGCAATAAATACAAAAAGTTGAGACAGAGTGTCTGGGAGCTAGTCTTGGCATTTGGGTCTCTGTAAAGGGAAAAATTTAAATCAGATAAACATAGTGTTGTTCCCAAGATAAAAAAAAAAAAAATAATTCCGGACTGGTGAGATGGCTCAGTGGGTAGAGGCTGCTGTCAATCCTGATGAGCTGAGTTCAACTCCAGGGTACCACAGGGTAGATGGAATAGGAAAACGGATTCTCTCAAGTGGTCCTCTAACCCCCATGCACAGGCGGTGTGGCACATTCCTACACACATACAAACACACGAATATAATAAGTTTTTCTATCTTTACTCTGGCTATAGTCCGTGGAGCTCAGTTCTCTGGTTCTTGCCTGTTAGTAACTCTTTGCATCTAAACAGCACTCACCACATACAGGTTTCGCTGAAGTCACTGAATGAAGAAAGGGCCTTATAACAGGTTTGGCAGACCGGCCTCGGTTTCAGCTTCCACGATATTTAATCTGATACAGGATGAGACCGCTATGTGCGGTTTCATTGTAAAAATTTGTTGTGCTACCCAAGCCGTAAAATGCTTTAAAAATAACATGGTATTTGATTTTTATACAGCTAAGATTGGCAACATCACTAGCAGGATGCGAATCCCATCACTCACAGCCCAGCGTTCTCTGAAATCATTTCATTTGCAAGGCTTTCTAGTAATGAGGATCAGGCCCAAATAAGAACCAGTGGCTTCCCTGGTGATCTCTGCCCAATCCTTATGGCAGGGCAGGGAAGAGGGACTTCAGTGACTATCATTTCATTTAGACACCTTCACTAACATGTTACTCTGACACCAAGAGGGGGACCTCATCTCATTAGTGTATGCAAATGAGGTGATTTCTCAATAAGAATTCCTGAAGTTTAAACAACTTTGCTTCAAACTGTCCACTGTGTTTTGTTTGTTTGAGGTGTGCATCTAAGTGTCACTCAAGAAAAACAGAACCAGAACTATGTCATCTAGCTAGAGCTAGCCTGTGGTCAGTGAACCTCGATGTTTCTATATTGATTTTAAAAAAGTTAAAACATTTCTAACTGTTTCTGACCATGGCAACACAGACTGAAAATATCAAATAAACCTCGGCCTAAGTACACTTAGTCTTGTCTCAGGTCACACAGAGCCAAGGACAGAAACCACATCTGTCCTACTTTCTACGGCATCAAATAAGCCATTAAACCATTATGCAATCCGGGAGATTTTGAGGCTTAGAGACAGACTTTTAGACCTCTCATGATTGCCTGCTTAAGTCAAATTTACCAAAGATCTGAAATTGATCAACTGGGTTTAAATAATTGGACTTTATAATTGTCACAATTTTCTTTTCTAAATTCAAAAGGACATTTTTATAGGGGAAAACTACTTCATTTTGAGCATTAAAATAGCTCAAAAATAATCACAATGATTTTGTACCTTCTTAAGTGACAGATGAACAACCTCTTTCTTGCCCTAGTGTAAAATCTCAGCAGGAAGACTGTGGGGCTAAGTAGCTCACACCACTAGTCCAGGCAGTAAAAGCTCTGAGAGTGAAGCCTTGGGGAACATGCCTTATTCTGAAATAATGCAACCACTTTTCTTTGTACTTTGACACTTTTCATTTTAAAGATACTACTCTCTTGGGGAATTTAATATAATTCTAGAATTTTTCATGTATAAAAGATGACTTAAAGTTGACTTGGGACAGGCTTATGACATAATAACATTCATAAAGTGAACTGGAGAAAATAAGTCTTGATTAATAAAGAAAGCCATCATGATAATGACTTTACAACATTTCTTAAGCAAAATCCTTTCAGATGGTTGCTGAGGAACTTGACCTTATCAGAGTCTGACACATATTGCCTTAGACAGTTACTTAAATAGAGAACTGAATTTTATCAACGGAAATCATCTAACCAATGTAGGCTGACACCTTTCTGCAGGCCTCCCACAGGGGTCTATTTTAACTTATATACACACTTGATCATTGCTAGGGATAACACAAGTTTTACTATTTGGAACTCTTCCCTTTCTTAGAAATCTCTCTCCTAGACATCAGGCAGAACCATATTTCTTGTTCAATACAGCAAATGAACAGTGATATTCATCAGCTATAGAGTAATAGAAATCACGGGATGTCTTCCTTAGTGTAAAACCAAAGTGCTGTAGCATGGTAGTCTCTGGAAAGAGGATCATGAGACCACACCAAAGAGGTGAATGTGCTTTAATGGCTTTTCCAACAAAATCCATCAAGAGGACTATGCAGTTAGCTCCTGCACGGCACCATCACGAATAACTGTGGGAAATGCAGAAAGTGCTGACGTCCCAAAGCAAGAGCAGACACAGCCTGCCAGCGTTCCACACCGTTTATTGACGCGGTTTACATACAATCTGAACCCTGCAGTTCCCAAGCACACTGTGTTTACAACTTTTGGCTCCTTCTGCAGTCTAGGTCTGTCTGCAGAGGACCATTCAGTGAATGAACACAGTTTATAATTACTGAAAATAGAGTGCAGTGAAATGAGTTAAATATAATTTAGGCACATATTGATTATGAAAATAGGTATCTCTCAATACAATACTTCTCTGTCTTGGTAAAAATAATAACGCAAAGAAAATAATTCATTTTCAAAGTTGCTTTCCTTTCCCTGTAAAGAAGCACTCTCCTCCCGCTGTGCACGTGAGCTCTTTACTGTGAAGGAAAGCTTTGCATATGTAGATAGAAGAATAAGCTACAGAATAATGAAGACATGCCACTCTCCTGGAGGAGACAAGGTCACCTATGACGATTCACTACCTCAAGCTGACAAGTCTGGAGGACCTCGAACCCATTTGGACACAGCTTATATCCCTGCTCTTAGAAAACACATAAGGACACTGGGACACCCACTAAGAAGGCCCTACTGCTGCTGTTGCACAGATAATGACTCAAGAAAACGGGACTAAAATTTCATTTAAAAACAAGACAACAGAAAATATTTTTTAAAGTTTAAGAACCACAGTTACTGACTGATAATGCAGCTTATACTAGCCAGATGTTTAATTTTTATTCATAATTTTTTTGGTGGCTATAATCAAATCATCAGTTTAGATTTTCTTAGTTGCCACTGAAGGGTTTTAGCTGCAATTATCTGATGCTGCGTTCTCATAGGCAACTCTGCAGGATTTATTCATACTTTATAGCTCCAACTGCACGGAGTTTAGACTGGATATCTGTTTTAAGCCGGTCTTGTATAAGCCACTTGGTATTACATGACCTGTGCTGAGGATGCAGCTTGGTGTTTTGGCTCTGAAGTATCTTCCTCTGCTTGTGATAACTGAGCACGAGAACTGGACTAGTGAATGGACAGAACAGCCTAACGTGGTACAGCATGGAACTCGCCCGTAATGAAGCTGAGGCATGCTCACTCACTGGACAGCTGCAGCAACTGGTGGATCCTTTGCTCTGCTGTAGATATACAAGGTCTTTCCTTCCGTCCTGTCTCAAAATGTGAGAACAGAGTACAGCTCACATTGAGCTTCGGTTTTCTCTTACACAGTAAACATTCTAGAAATGAATCTGAAGAGAGCCATAGGGAGTCTCGCCCTCACCACATGCACATGATGACCAGCGTCTGAAGAGGGAGGGCATACTAAAGCTATTTATAAACCTGAAGAACTCTTCAGTTTCCAAGACGTTTAACAATTTAAACATCCTTACTGCATCTAGGTGTTCAATAAATATATTTGCATATATTGTGCTTTTCATAAATTAAAATTCTCAAATGCATCTTAAACCAAGATGGTACTTCCACACAATGCCTATATAAAAGCAAATATAATAGATACTACTCCTGGTCAGAAACCAGACAAATGCCCCAGCTCCACTCAAAATGCTGCAGCATGATCTACTTTCCCTATTTCTAGAAACAGATTGTTCTTCTGTTACAGTCACAATGTGGGAGAAATTCAACTGTTTCCCCTTATGCACCTCTGGGAACAAGCATTTGCCTCTAATTCCCGGACAATGTTATCTCCTCTAGACAAGTCGATGGATGGAGAAATAAAATAAGGACACGTTTCCATTAGGGACATCTTCCTCCAGCTCTTGTCACTCTCATCTGACACTCTGGGACATATGTAATGGTGTCAGCATCTCTTCAAATATGGCACCCTTCACATTGGAACCTCTTAGGTTGGCTTCTTGGAGGTCACACCCCGACAAATCACAGTTCTGTAAGACAAAGCAAGACTCATGGAGTTCAAGTGATTTAGGATCAAATTTAGGTCCCCATAAAATGATTACTGGGCATGGCAGGACAATATTTCCAAGTGTTCCCATTTTTGAAACACTTCTACTAATGCACTGTGGTGATCTGAATAAGAATGGCCCCCATAGACTCATATATTTGAATGTTTAGTCAACGGGGAGTAGAGCTTTTTGAAAGTATTTAGGAGGATTGGGAGATGTGGCCTTCTTGGAGAAAGTGTATCACTGGGGGTGGATTTTGAGATTTGAAAAGGGCATGCCAAATGCATGTTCACTCCCCCTACATCCTCACTCCCACCGCCCTCATCGCTGCTTATGGATCAGGATGTAGCTCTAAGTGACTTCTTCAGCACCATGCCACCATGCTCTCTGCCATGATAATGGATTAAGCCTCTGAAAGTGTAGCATGCCCCTGGTTCAATGCTTTTCCCAGTATTCATGGCAGCTCACAATCACCTCTAACTCAAGTAAGTTCTAAGAGATCCACTGAATGCCCTCTTCTGACCTCTATGGGCAACAGGCATGCATATGGCATATGTAGCAGGCAAAACACTCATAAACATAAATAGAAAGAATGGAAAGGACTATACTAATGATGGAAGGTCAGTTCCTTTTGCCTTTAAACAAATTTGTTGCTGTGATCCTAAGAACTATCAAGAGATCAAGGTTAAAAACCCCGAAATGTCCACAGTAGTCTAAATTTTCATATACAATTCTATCTGTCATGTGTTCAGTAACACAGCTACCAGATACATGTAGCTATTTAAATTTAAATGAATTAAAATGAAGTAATTTTCTTTAGAATAGTGTCTCAGTTGTACCAAGTTCAAATGTCCAACAACTAAGTGGTTAGTTAGCCACTGGACTTAACAACACAGATCCAAACACCCTTCAGTGCGGGAAGTAGCATTTGGCAGTACTACATAGACAACAGCCACTGAGCCAGGTATGGTGGCTCACACCTATGACTCCAGCACTTGTGGGGTTGAGAAAAGAAAATCATATATAGCCCAAGCTATATGATGAGTAATAACAAATATGCAAACAAACAAGCTACCTAAATCTACAAATCAAGAAGACACACAGGTCTTATGAAAAATAACAGGCAAAATTAAAAATCTCAAACTGAGATTCAAACTGAAGATGATCCTAAATTAAAATGGGCTTTTTTTCTGAACCTAATCTTAAACCCAGAAATGATTTACATTTCTCAAGTAGCTCAAGAAAGTCCACTAAACTCTGTTTGGCATTAAATTTATGAAAAACTTACTATAGGTTTGAGCAAGATCCAAGAAAAGAGAGGTAAATGAAATCAAGGTCGACAGCACCTCATCAGAAACTGGCACCTGCCACTTAGGTAACAGGTCAGACCTAACTCCGAAATCAAAATCATTCAACAAGCAAATGGCTCCCATTGCCCCATTTCTTGGAGGGGAGAAGAAGTGTGGGGTTTTTACTGTTTATTCCAGTCTAGGTTTACAATCCCAGCCCTCCCACTTCAGCTAGGATTACAGGTATGAGTCTCCATGCCCACCTTCAGAAAAAACAATCGAAAGAGCAATAGCCTTCCAGCCACCCTGCCACACCAAGTGGAGCTTCACAGCCAAGTATTGAGCTTACAGTAAGCTGGCATGATCCCACCAGCAATGCTCATCATTAAAATCCCCCAGAGACCGGAGTCTCACCTCCAAGTCGGTTCCTGCTAAAGTTGCCCCTCTGAGATTACAGTTCTTCAATTTTGCATTTTTTAAGGTGGCAACTCGCAGGTTAATTCCAGTCATCTGACTTCCTTCCATATCCACGCCTTTCAGATTAGCACCTGCAAGAAGCAAGTTTTTGGAAGAGTTTAACCTAAAAATATGTTAACCACTGAAAACAAAAGTACAAGATTATTTAAGGGAGGGGAATGAGACAAGACCCCACAACTTTTGGAAATAAACTTGAAATCTATCTTTTAACCGACTTGCAATATAGATTTCATTGGTGGCAATTTATTCTCTTACGGCATAAAATAAACTGTCTGAACAATACTTTTGAGGAGAGAAATCAACCTTGTCTTTTAAAAAAATGGCATTTTTGTAATACGCCTCTGTGAATTAATGTTCAGGGAGACCACAAGCACCATGTCACCTAAATTCAAATAAATAAAGTACCCAACTCACAAACAACAAAACCCTCATGGAGTATTAAAACCTGACATTACACCGCAGGACAAACTGAAATTCTTCATTTTTGTCAACATAAGAATATTTTATTCCCTTCCAAAGTTCAGAGGTTGATATTTAACTTTTCAACTAAACATCTGTGGCGTTATTTCCTGTGTCCTGGGTGCTGACAGTAAAGTGATTCTCCAGGTCTGCCCTCAAGGGAGGCTCCGCCCACAGCCTTCCTGCTTCACCTCTAACTACAACTTTTACTAAAGGGCTTCCTTCAGGCAAGAGTAGGCAGACAGGTCCTCACCCTCTAAATTGGCTTTAAGACCGGAAGGATCCTCAAAATTACAGAGCCTCAGGGATGCACCTTCAGCGTTTGAGCAGAGCATCTTGACTCCCTGGAGATTTGCACACTGTGAACACAAGAGTCCCGGCTATAAGGGTTAAACTTGATAACATCTGTGCAAGCAATAAGAAAGAAATTAATAGGAAAAGACCCAAGTCAACGCATCTGCAATTAGTTATTTTCTGTTTTTCCTGAAGACCGCTTTAATGAAACCCAGTAAGAACTGAGAATTTTTCAAAGAATTACAACAAATGAACAATGGCATATTCACTGTACATAGAACAGGAGTCCAGAAGAAGCAGCTATGTAATCTGAACTATGACAGCCTATTTCTGACTTTATAAACAGCCCTGAACATCACAAAATCATGTTCAAAGTGTAAGTGAATTGAGGACACAAACTCAGGGGATGGAGTTCTCTTCCTAATCATGAAAGGATTAAAAAAAAAATGAAATTCTTGGTGTCCCCTTACTTCAGGAGCAAGAAC